TTTCCAGAAGCTTGGTTTAGAGGCAAGAATCTTGGATTTGTGGTTGAAAAATCTGGAATTTAGCATGTTTTGGTTGTTAGGTGCTTTTGTGTTGAGTACCACTTATAGTGACACTATGAACAACAGATCTAAATCCTGTTCTATCCTTACTCATCATTTTTGAAGTGCCTTCAAGGAGCACTCTGGCTGTACTTTCTCCAAGATGTATCTGTTTGGTCTTTTGGCAGTCCATGGGATATTCAGTACTTTTATCCAACACCACAACCCAAAGAAAAGTCTTCTGTAATTTTTATCCATTGTCCAGCTCAGATGCATAGCAAGTGATTGAAGACCATGGCCTAAATCAGGTACACCTTAGTTTTTAACATTACATTATTAATCCTTAAAATTAGCTTAGATATTTAGTATAGAAGTTGCCATTTTTGCACGATGTTGTCTTGATCAAGTCTTAGGCAATCAACTACGAAAGTTTTGGTGATCACATAAAATTCCATTTGAGGACACATATAAAATGTAAAGCAATAGGAGCTCTGGTGGCCTAGGGGCAAGGAGCTACACTGCAATCCTAAAGGTGTGTGGTTTGAGTCCTCCAGATGTTCCACTGAAGAAGGATGGGCAATTTCCTCCTGTGCCAGTTGGATCTGATTCGATGGCACATAGCAACAATAATAAAATATAAAGTGTCACTAAAAACTGTTTAAAAACATGTAAAGCAATAAACAGAAAGAACTTGCTGAATTTAATTCTGTTCATTTGAAATTTACCAACATATTAAAGCTGTTGCCAAGAATCTTTTTAGTACTATTCAGAAAATCTACAGGATTCCTTTTCTTCTTATTCATGTAGCATCTGACCAATACAAGCTGTCAATAGAAAAAAAAATATTTAGTAATTTTAAAGGAGTTTCACACTGCCTCTTTGTTATGAAGTCAGAGAACTCACTTGACTTCAAATAGACCCATGTGGTTATGGGTAAGTTGCTCCAGCTTCCCATAATTTTGTGTGTTCTGCGGAAATTGTATTGATACCTGTTGGTGATTCATTTGATAAAAGATGTCTGATTGACAAAATGGCTTCTGACAGATAATGAAGTGACTAAGAAACCTTCGAATATGACGTTCAGTTGGAACTCCCACAATCACCATCTTCTTCACTGTTTTCTCTCTTCTTCTTGCAGCTGTTAGGTGCCATTGAGTTGAGTATTCCTTATATAGACTCTTTGAACCACTGACATGAATCCTGTACTATCTTGTTCTACCCTCATCATCTCTGATACATTTGAGCACACTATTGCAGTCACCATGTCAATTCATCTTGTTGAGAACTTCCTTTCTTTCATTGACAAGAATGATATACTTCTCCAAGAAAGAGTCTCTCCTATCAATATGTGTCTTCCTTGGCATAGTCATAAGCAGATTAGAAAAGAAATTATCTATCCAAATGCTGATAGATTTAATGCACAAAGCTCTTACTTGTTTTCTACTTTCTTAAAAAATTAGAGAGTTGTTCTTACCTATTATTTTAATTTTATTCTGATCAGCTATCCATGAAAGGACTCGTCTAGAGAATTGCTGCTGCTAACATAAAGATTATGCCTCTCTGGGGAATCTACCTGCTTGAATCTACCAACACCTCCATGGGATAAATATGAGCAATTACCTCCTGTATGACTTAGTCCCTCAGAAACTGGCTGGAGAGTCAACTATGTGTCAGTTCTAACTTGAAGCCAGTGAGCAAGAGAGAGATCCAAGTTACTGAAGCTTTTTTGTTTCTCTCATCTCAAAATATACTTGAACTGAAAAATAAATTTAAGCCTCGAGTTGCAATACTGAGAGATGCTGTAGGCAAAATTTTGAATGACCAAGAAAGCATCAAAAGAAGACTGAAGGAATACACAGATTCATTGTATCAAAAAGAAATGGTTCACACAAAAAATTTCAGGAAGTATCATAAGAACAAAAGACAGTGGTAATGAAAGAAGAAGTTCAAGTGTCACTTAAGGCATTGGCAAAAAATAAGAGTACAAGAATTAGTGGGATACCAACTGAAATGTTTTAACTGACAGATACAGCTCTGAATTTGTTCTCCAGTTTATGCCAAGGATTTTGGAGGACAGCAAGTTGGCCAACTGACTGGAAGAGATTGGTATTTGTTCCCATCTCTAAGAAAGGTAGTCCATAGAATATAGAAATTATTGAATAATATCATTAATATCACATGCAAGAAAAATGTTGCTGGAGTTGATCCCCAAATGGCTGGAACAGTACATTGGTAGGTAATTGCCAGAATTGCAAGCTGTGTTTAGAAGAAGCCATGGCACCAGGGATATCATTGCTGATGTCAGAAAGAAATAGAAGAATGTCTGCTTGTGTATTATTGTCTTTGCAAAGTCATTTTACTATGTGATCATAGCAAATTATGACTAACATAGAGAATAATGAGAACCCCAGAATTTGAAATTATGCTTATATGAAACCCATACTTAGTCTGAGAAGGTGCTGTCCAAACAGAGTAAGGGAATACTGCATGATTCAAAATCAGGAAGAATGTGTGTTAGTTAGGCTTGTAACCTTTTTTACATACCTATTAAATCTGTATGCTGAACAAATAATTATAGAAGCTGGACTATATGAAGACAAATGTGACAATAAGATTGGAGGAAAACTCATCAACAATCTATGTAGATAACATAACCTTGCTCATGGGGACTGAAGAGGATTTTAGGTGCTAATTACAGAAGATCAAAGACTGCAGCCTTCAATATCTCAACATCAAGAAGACAAAAATCCTCACCATCTTCTCTGTCTCATTGGCCCACTGTTTTTCTGAAAATAATGTTCCTTCCATGGTTTGGTCTCTCCTGATGTCATGTTTAATGTGTGTAAGATCAAATCTCCCATTCTTATTTATAAAGAAGATTCTGACTATCCTTCGTACGAGATAGATTTGCTCATTCTTCTGGCTGTCCAATATATAGCCTATATTTCTTACCAATGTTGTTGTTTTTAGGTACTGTTGAGTTGAGTATTACTCATAGCTACCCTATTAACAGATCTGAGCTCTCTCCTATCTTTTTCCATCCTTATAATCCCTGACACTCAAGCCCATTTCTGCAGTCACTGTGTCAATCCACTTGGTTGAAGGTCTTTCTTTCCTTCACTTCTCCTCCACCTCTCCAAGAATAATATTCCTTTCCAAATAGTAACCTATCCTAGCCACCCACTGAAAATATGTAAGATGAAGCTTCATCATCTTTGTCTCCAAGGAGCACTATGGTTCTACTTTCTCCACAACATATCTATTTCTTCCTTTGCTAGCCCATGGGAACTTCAGCATTCTTCTCCAGCACTATAGCTCAAAGGTGCCAATTCTTCTTCTATCATCCATATTATTTTCCAGTTTTTAGATGCATAACAAGTGACTGGAGAGATCTTGGCCTGGACCAGATGCACCTTAGTCCTCAAAGTGACATTTTTGTTCCTCAGTAATTTGGTTAATTCCATCATACAGACTTTTCCAGTACATTGTGTTTCTGGATATCCTGAATTCTAGTAAGTACTACTTACTTGGATTATGGATCCAAGTAAGATTAAATCATTGAAAGTCTGAATCTTTTCTCCATCTATCATGTTGTTGCCCATCTGTCCAGTGGTGAGGATTTTTGTTTTCTTGACATTGAGATGCAATCTATATTGAAGGCGTTAGTCTTTAATCTTCTGCAGTAAGCATTTCCAGTTCTTTTCACTTTCATCAAGCATGGTTGGGTCATCTATATAATGAAGGTTATTGATGAATCGTCTTCTGATTCTGATGCCACATTTTTCTTCATAAAGTCCAGCTTCTCAAATTATTTGCTCAGCATACGAATTAAATAGGTATGGAGAAAGGCTACAACACTGACACACACCTTCTCTAATTTTAATCATGTACTGTTTTCTTGCTCTGTTTACACAACAGTCTACGTGTAGGTTTCACATGAGCACAATTAAATGTTCTGGGATTACTTTTATTCTCAATGTTAGCCAATCTGTTACAACCCACACAGTCGATGATATAGTCACATGATAGACTATTACACAGCAGTGAAAAACAATGAAGTCATAAAACATAAAATATGTGAAGCGTGGAGAACATTATGTTGAGTGAAATTTCTCAGTCACAAAATGACAAATAGTGCATAACACCACTGTTATAAAATAGGGCAGATATGAGGAGAGGTGGTTGGAGAGAGAGTGGAAAAGAGTGGATAGATAATGAACCCTGCATTAGATCAGATGGAATATAAAGAGTACATAGATAATGAACACTGCAGATCAGATGAGGGGAAGAACTGTCTAAAAGGAATATATAATTAGATATTATATGTGTGACAACAATCTGAAACAAGGAGGGCTAGGGGATGAGGAATTGGAAGTGGAAGAAAATGTGCAACAATGGAAAAATGGATGAAAAGACAAGACTTTTTTATGTTTAAAAAAAATGAAAGCCATTGCATAGTATAGAGAAAAAAAATTACTCTGTGTAGTCAAGAAAAGACAAATACACATTCTTCTGGTATTTTTTTGCTTCCAGCAAGGATCCACTGCACATCAGCAATGATATCCCTGTTTCAATGGCCTTTTCTAAATCCAGTTTGAGTATCTGGCAGTTCCATATCTATATACTGTCCTAGCTATTTTTTTAGTGATCTGCAGCACTATTTTGCTTGCATTATGGTTCAATAATTTCCACATTCTGTTGTAATTTTATTGTTCGATAATTTCCATATTCCTTGTTCCAGATTGTGAATTAGACCATCAATTATGCATGTGAAAGTTCAAATAAAAGCTGAAGAAAATAAAAACAAATTCATGAGAACCAGACTATGATCTTGAGTCTATCCCACCAAATTTAAAAATAATCTTAACAATAGATGTTGGAGCAGTGTGAAGAAGAGGTGAGAATGACCCCCCCGGTTCAGTCAAAGCCTGTATGTTGCAGCATCCCCAAGTCCAGTGCCTATGTTCTGCCACAGTTGTCACCATGTCACCAAGAGAAAGGCTGAAGGAGATTTTAAGGGAGATAAAGCCAAGGGGAAGGACAAGACACAGAGGCGATCTGCAAGGTTATTTGCTAAACCTGCCCCTCCAAAGCCAGAGCCTAAGCCTAAGAAAGCCACAACAAAGAAGGGAAAGAAGGTACCCAAAGGGGAAAAGGGGCAGGCTGATCTTGGCAAGGATGGGAATAACATTGCAGAAAATGGAGATGCCAAAACAGAACAGGCACAGAAGGCTGAAGGTGCTGGAGATGCCAAGTGAAGTGTGCACACTTTTTTATAACTGTGTACTTCTAGTAACTGTACAATTTGAAATACTATTTTTACCAAATTTTATAAAAATGTATAATTTTGTTTTACTTTTTTTAAGCTATGTTGTTAGCACATAGAACACACTTCATTGTTTTTTGTGGAAGGGGCAAATGTTATTAATAGCATGTCTCTGAAGCTGAATTATGTCAATACTTTTTACCTTCTAGTTTTGAGAGGCTCCCTCTTGGTTGTAAGGACACACATTAGAGAACTTGGTACAAATGCCTTGTGGTGTGGAGGGAAAAAATCTGTTTTTATGTCCTCTTCTCCCTCTGCCTTCAGCATAGACTTGATTCCCATAAATCTAGAAAACTTTTGGACCTGATCCCCCCTGAAATTGATTACCATTTTGCCAAGCAATCTGGACTGATGACCTGAGTAGCATTCCTCAAAAGAACAACAATTTCTTTTTTAAAAAAATTTTTAAAAAATTCTTCTTTTAAAGATTGTGAATCTTCAGATTGGTAATTCTGCCATTTTTCTTTCGTTTTCTGAAAGTCAGGGTTGGCTTGTGAAAAGTTGTTAAACAACATGCTAAATGTGAAATGTCAGTCTTCACTCTAAATTCACTGTTCAAAGCATCATATGAAGATTTCATTGGGTTTTATAGTGGCTTTCTGATTTTGGTAGTCCCTTGAAGAAGGAAATTTGAACATTGTTGTAGACAGTTAACAATTGTCTGTCAATGTCCTGCCTGAAATACCATTATTGTTTATGAAAAATATCTTTTATAAAGCTGGATACAGTTCACCGTTGGGGGAAAAAAGAATAGTTTTGAAGCACTAAACACAAATTATCAAAGACAAGATGAGTTGCAAGATGAATTAAAGGTACCATCCATAAAAAAAGTAAAAGGTAACTGAAAATACAGAGGCAAAAAAAAACCAAACCACGAAAATTGAAGTTAAAAGAAATACTTCCCCAATACCATAATTCAAATGCATCAGTTCCCCTTTGGTACTGAAAATATATTTATGGCCTAGCTTTTACATGCATGTAAGACCATTTAAAATATCAAGGTCAGGTTTCTGTTAGTTCTCAAAATGCCATCATTACTTTTTTAATACTTTAAAGAAATTTTTGTAATAGATTTGGCAAATACAGTGCATCCTTTACCTAGACCAAGAGGCTGTTTCGCAACAGAGCAAGGGAATACAGCATTGTCCACAATCAAGAAAGAAATACATTAGGATGCATCCTTTCTCTATACCTTCTCAATCTATTTGCATGACAGACCATTTGAGATACTGGCCTTATGAAAAAGAATGTGGCATTAGGAGTGGAGAAAGACACATCAAGAATATCTGTTGTGCATGCACATGACACAACCTTGCTCACAAAAAAATGAAGAGGACTTGAAGTGTTTGCTACAGAGGATCAAGAACTGCACATTCAGAATGTATTGCATCTCAACATCAGGAAAATAAAAATAACACGAGGTAAATAGGGAGCATCATGACAGATGAAGAAAAGATTGAAATTGTTAATGATTTAATCCTGCTCAGATTCACAATCAATACCCTTGGCTCCAGCAGTCAGGAAATCAAAATGAGTTGCATTAAGAAAATTTGCTGCCGTTCCTTACTTCACCTCTACCTTGCATGCAAACTTCTGAGTTGTAAAACAACCCAGTGGTAGATGGAATTTGCTCCGGGACTTAAAAACCATAAATAACATAGCTGAGCCTCTACATCTTGTGGTTCCTAACCTCTACACTATAATAGACAAAGTGCTAGTTTAGGCCTTTTATTGTAAGAACCACCTTCCCTCTGTAACTTGATTTGTGCCACTATTAGAACCTCTACTCGGAATATTATTGTTGTTTAATTTTTGACTTATGTACATTTAACTTGTTAGTTAAATTTGTGTCTTCTAGGCTGCAACACTTCCATGATACATCTTCAAGGATATGAACATGTACGGCTAAGCACAATTGATAACAGTGAATCTAAATTCCAAAATCAATCTCTATAGTACTGTCTATGTGTTTCCTACTGCCAAAGGGGCCCTTTAGAGTAGTGAGAGAAGATCTTCACCCTGAAACCCACAGCGTCCCTTTTCAGCAGGAAGTAGCTAAGAGAATACGCCATCCCCTTTTCCTTATGAATCAGGGTGAAGTCTCTCTCAGGGAGGAGTGATAGGGAATGGCAAGGGACACACTGACAAAGGAGATTAATCAGAACTGGCTTTGACAAGCACTGTGGCAATTGGACAATTAAAACAGACATTTGGAGGAGGGGAAGAAGAATGAACTGGGGAGGAGGGTAGAGAAAACAGTGCAACAGTAAATGAATGAAAACCCAAAATCTCTGTAAATGTTCATTAAAACGAATAAAATTTAATAATAATTTAAAAAAAAACAACAAAAAAAGAAAATCTGCTGTCAAGTATCAAGATGTCAGTCTGAAGACTAATGTATGCTTAATGCAAGTCATGTTCTCAATTGCTTGCTATATGGATCCAAGAGTTTGACAATGATTAAGAATACCAGAAAAAAGAATCAATGCCTTTTAGTTTTGGTGCTGGAGCAGAGTATTTAACCTACAATGGACTAAAAAAAAAAACAAACAAACAAAATAAAAACAAACAAAAACCCAAGCAAGTCTGTCCTGGAAAAGGTGAAACCAGGTTACTTCTTGGAGTAAGGATTTTGAAACTTCATCTCACATACTTTGGGTATGTTGTTAGAAGGGACCAGGCTTTGGAAAAGAATATCATGCTTAGAAGAATAGAAGGTTTGTCCAAGAGGGGAAGATCTTAGATGAGATAAATTAATACAGTGACTATGGCAATGGGGTCAAGGGTGTCAGAGATGATGAAGATTACTCATGATAGGACACAGTCCAGAGGCATTGTTCACAGAACGAGTATGAGTTGAGTTGACTCAGTGACCCATAACCACAATATATTCTTTGGATTTTGTAACTGCTGCTTCCATAGGCTAGGTATTGATTCTGGATCAAAGTAAAATCCTTGTTGTTGTTGTTGTTGTTGTTGTTATGGGCCATCGAGTCGCTTGCTACTCATAGTGACCCTATGTACAAGAGCTCTAAATGCTCTTCTATCCTGTGCCAACCTAGCCATCTCAAATGCACTTATTCCCACCGCTCCAGTCACAGAATCAATCCATCTC